TTTCAAACAATTAGTATTATGCTTTACTACCATTATCAAAGTAAGACAGAACGAACTGCCGCTCAGTGTACTCGTCCTTTATTTGATATATAGATATCTCGCCTTTGTCATAGGTGACGTAATTTGGCAAAAGCTAAACGAGCTTTTTAAATTTGTGCCGACTTTTCATAACTCTACGGAAACCAATAATTCCTAGAATAAATAAACCGCTCCGCGAGATTCGAACCCAGGACCTATCAGTCTAGCGCGCGAACAATTAATCTCTAGAAAACTGAGTTGGCCGGCATCCAACGGTGTTAATGTTTAACTTCAACCAATCCACGAAATTGCGCTACCGTCTACTATTGTTATCAGTGAGTTACCATCTCGCAACAAATCTGGTTGAACTCCACTGGTCACTACTTCTCACTAGAACTCCAGGAAACACATCTTAACGTCAGTCACTAGTGATGATGAGAAGGGTTTTATAGAGATTAATTTATTCATTGCTCTTCATATCAAAATTGATAATCGTTGATCAGGATAGGTAGATTTATATTCGAAAAATTTCACTTTCGTCATTAATTCATGTCTCCAATGACGAATTATGCAGATAGGATAATGATTACAGTTTATGTGTATTCATACGTTATTAGACGTGTACCTTTGACTGTTGCATTAACGCTTGAGATTTCGATCCTCCAATACCTTTTGTCTGTGATCAATCTACTGAAATGGTACTTTTATAGTAAACTAGCAAGAATTTTGCTTATCATTCTAGTTTAACGAACTTACCAGAGAAGAATATCTTATTCAGATCTCACATTTTACGTATGAATCTGGCTTTGATCACGAACTAATGGTCAATCAATCTAAAGTTGTGATGTCAAACTGAAGAGAATATACGAAAAGTGTGATTTCACTAAGCTAAGTAAGATGATATTGAAGTTTCTTGTTTAAAGACTACTTATCTGTCACACTATACGTTGATAAGTTAGTGAGAAAGCTGAGAGCCCCAATTAATGAGGACATTAATTTTTAAACTAGGTTGTGTTAGTAGATGAAGATTATCAAGTTAGGGTGCGCACGATTACAGTGTTTAATGATTGATGTTCGGTGACATGACTTATTATTAGTTTTTAACGATACAGGTACATTCAATCTTTGTTTTCCCCTAGATTTTGAGGCACCAAATACATATAAGTCATCTAGTGCTTCTTGGTTTTCAATGATGGTCTAACTTATATTGACTCATGAATTCAACTATTAAAATTACTACAATCTGCACAAACACCCATGCTAATCATAAAGAATACATGAAATTCATATGCAAAACGAAATACCACTTTAAATCAAACATTATCTCAAGTGAAATGAAATCATTGTACTACTACTATACTAATCATTCTCTGTGTTCTCGTTCTCTTTTCGTCGATGTTCTTAATCTTCTTTCGCCAGACACTTTCGATTGGTGATACATACTACTTATATCGGTTGACATCAGTATCACACATGACATTATCAATCAAATAGTCAGTTTGTAAATTGTTTTAATTTAATCAGTGTTATGAACTTATTCATGAACCTTATCGACAAACTTAATAAGAAAGATCAATCAATATTATGATGGTAGAAAAGATTTATAGTTTAGGAAATGGATAAGATATTAACCTTCTTTGTCTTCGTTAGTTACCTAGGAAAGTATACAAGTTGTCTTCATATTTATGTAAAAAAATGTAAACGAAAATTCAATCGAGAAAAGATATTAAAATCTTCGATATAATCGTTGTAACAGACAAATTATTCTGTAATAATGATCAGTCGACTTATTGATAGTTACATATTTGAACAATTGACACAAGATCATAACATCAGGAGACAAAATAACAATTAGTGAAATAAAAGTATTTTAATGAGACGAAAATGACATGATGATTATTCAACATAAATTAAACATTGTTTGAATACATATAAAATGTAGGCCACTAAGTGCCCTGATGCGGCCGAGAGTGAGGAGAGTCTACTGTCCCTCTCATATAGACACGCGTATACAGTCACTGCCAGGGAAGTTCTACTCATTGCCTACTCATCGCGGGGATGTTGTTTACGAAATTAAGAGGATTGGATATGGAGAGTCCATCTAGAGGAGTTGGAAGACCTTGATTCCAAACCAATAATGGGCTCCATGGTTCTGATGGAACAAATGGCGTATGAACCAATTGTTGGTCATTGGTTATCATGGGACTGCATCTCCTTACGATGCTCCACTGCTATGTTGATTAGACCTTTAGGTCGAAGGCTTCAAGTGTGTCACCTTAAGAAAACCACCTGCTTCGGTTTGGGCACCCAGGCAGTATCACAGCCCTTACACAAATCAAGAGAATTGTGTGGCGCATATCTCGTTTTTGCCTCCTCTGGAGAGAATCAGCTTTGCCTCTCGAAATGTTCTCACATCGCCACATGTATACAACTATTGCCAGGGAAGTCCTACTCACTGCCTTCTCGCGACATTACTGTTATTTATGAAATTGAGAATATGATACTTTAACCGGGTTGGTGGACACGGAGTCTACATGATGGATTTGGAAAAGCCTCATTCCAAAACAACGGTTCATATTGGCTCCAGGATCTTAAGAAAACAAATGGCATATGAACTTATTGTTGGTCACCGGCAACCATGGAACTGCAGGTCCTGACATTGCTCCACAGCCTTGTGGATCAGACCTTTCGATCGAAGGTTCGGGGTGATGCCCTTGGGCACACGGGTAGTATCACAGTTCACACACAAATCAAGTGACTTGTGTAGCGCATATGTATTCAGTCCCCCTTTGTACCAATATTTGTGTTCAAATAAGTAAATAGCTGTATGTTCTACATTTGTCTCCATTGTCTATTCATTATTTATGTCTATAAAAAATTCATCGACTGTATCGTTAGTCATTTGTAAGTGATATTCATAATTAAATCAATTCAGCATAATCTGATGAGTTCTATGTAACCTTTTATTATAATTTGTGACCCTTTGTACCCTGTTAATATATCACGCGATATGATCATCAATTAAAGTCACCGACTTATTCATCAAACCAATGATGCATAAACCAATACGTGAAGCCTCGTCTAACCCAACCGCCGATTCACTCTAAAATGTAAATGTCCACATCCATTCATATTACATCACATAAATCAAACATACTTGGTTTATACACAAGCAACATCAGACCATATCACACTATAAAATAGAAAATAACAGTTGTGCCAAAATCAAGACAAAAAAAGTGGCTGTGATTGTGAGAAACTGAAACTAATAGATTCAGAATAGTAAATTGTATAACAAAAAAATATGGACTCTCCAAGTCCACCAACCCGGTTAAAGCGCCGGATATTCGCTTTTCGTCTTCTCAATTTCGTAAACAACAGTATTGCCGCGAGAATAGAGTGAGTAGGACTTGCCTCGCAGAGGCTATATACGTGTGGCCATGTGAGAGCACTATCACTATAATTAGAAAACTCCTAAGCAAAACATCACTTCTATACTGGGCTAGTTAGAGCTATCCTAAATGATAAGTGGACGCTATTGAGCAATATTTGGCTTTCTTTAGCACCATAAAGTTGGAGGTTAATTCTATTAATGGAAAAGACAATCACGATAGATGCTCAGTGCTGTAGAGTTTAAAAATTCGAGTGCGAGACCGAAGTTCACGAGTTCGAATCTAGCGAGCTGGATCGAAGGCCACAAACAAGTAGGACTACTAAAAAGTTCCTTTATTTGTGATTGTGGTAATCAAATAACTTGTGGACTTTGTGCAGACTACTGTGATGAGGTTGTTTTTCGATTTAATGTGTGTTGGAGGAAGAAGTCCGCTAGAATAGGATTTTTTTCGCTCGATTCAGATTGAGACTAAGGCAAATTATGACATGTTGCGAACTGAATAATAAAAGCAACAGTAACACTGGCTGCTACCCTGTACCACAATATATACGGATGATTAAAGAGCGTACTGATCGCTTTATGTATATCGTGTCCTTATCCGCAAGTGGTATTTTCTAGGCCCAACCACCGGAGTGCACACAAACAATACTGAAGCTATTTGGCTGAATAAGTTTTTGCGACTTTAACATAGCTCCAAAGACCGACTATTATGAAGCCATATTAGATGATTTCTACTATCGTATCTATTACGATTTTAGAACCTCTAAACCTCTTTATAACCTTAACAAGTTTTTGAACCATTTATAAGAAGTGTATTCACTTTAATTCTTTGATTTTGTATAATATATTTTTACTCTACACTAACCGTTCTCTGATTGATCTCGCCATTTGAACCAACGATTTTCCACTTGGAACGTCATCAACAAAGATAGTTACACTTTATGTTCTATACAGCATACTAATGAAAGTTAATTAACTGATCAATTAAAAGAACTCATAAACCTGAATAATACTTATTTTAACACATAGATATTGGTACAAGGAGGCACCAAATACATATGCGCCACACAAATACCATTCGATATGTGTGAGGGTTGTGATACTGCCCAGGTGCCCAGACCGAAGCAGGTGGTTATCTTAGGGAGCCACACCCCGAGCCTTCGACCTGAATGTCTGATCCACAAGGTAGTGGAGCATCGTAAGGAGATGCAGTTCCAAGGAAGCTGGTGACCAACAATTGGTTCATACGCCATTTGTTCCCACAGGATACTGGAACCCAGGTGCACCAATGATTTGTTTTGGGATCCGGTTAAAGCGCCGGACATTCGCTTTTCGTCCTCTCATTTTCGTAAACAACACCCCCGCCACGAGAAGGCAATGAGTAGGACTTCCCTGGCAGAGGTTATATACGCGTGGCTATGTGAGAGTATTTCGAGAGGGATAGCGAAGCCATCCCGCTCTCGGTCATGCCAAGGCATTTGAGGGCTAAATTTCAAACCCGGTTCGGCTATTTTGTTTACTACCCTACATATACATTGTATAAGCTATATGCTATTCTAACATAGATACAAACAATATAATAAAGCAATTGAATTTCAACAGTGTATGGTATATGTGTTGTTCTTTTTTTCTCTCATTTTGTTTTATTATAATCATTGATTATTTATTATTAGTCACAGTACAGTATTGTGTACACATCCATTAAATAATTTTACAGATAAAAATAAGATAACAAAAAAAAAGAAAAAAATAAAGAGAAATTTCCAGTTAGAAACAACTGAAAATACGAGGGGGGGGTGATGGTTTTTTGTCTTGTCCAAAAAGAAAAAAAATTTAAAAAATATATAATATATAATAAATAATAATAATAATAAACATTATAAATGATATGTGTTATTGTTCTGTTTTTCTTTAATAATAAACAAATAAACAACAACAGCTTAAAGATTAAAAGAACAAGCAACTAGGACTGATTTATTCACAATAAACATTTAAAATAATAATAATAATAATAATAATAATAATAATAATAATAATAATGAATAATAGAGTTTACCCCTTTGTTTTATACCTTCTATAGAATGTATTGTTATATAATGTCATAATGATAAATGAGATCATGAAAAGACTGGTGGACTTTGACGAGCTTTTCTATATCAAAATATAAAAAAATAAACAAACAAACAAATAATGAATGCTAGTATAGGGGTTGTGGAGATTATTAAGTGTTTGATTGAGATCATGAACCGATTAATGTTAGACCATCACAATTGAAAACCTGGAAGCACTGGACGGCCGTTTCGTCCTATTGTGGGACTCCTCAGCAGTGCTCATCCACGATCCCGCGAGCGGGATTCGAACCCAGGGTCTTCGGTCTCGCGTGCGAACGCTTAACCAACTGGACCACTGAGCTGGCATCCAATGGTGATAGTTTCTAACATCAACCAATCCACGAAATTGCGCGACTACTTAAGTAGATAACTGTCTCTACCCGACAAGGATTAGCTCCACTGGTTACGGCTTCTCACTAGAACTCCGAGAATTCCCTCACGAAGCTAATGAATGTTATATCAATAGTTAAGATCATGAATATAAAGTATTTAAAGATTATTTTCATGAGATGTTTAATATTAAAAAAACAACGATTGTAAACCAAGAATGTGCAAATATGATGTAGACTAAATTTGGTCCTATGAATTTTACAATTGTGAAGTGGAGAACAATCGTTTTTTAATCAGTGATTTGGAATCTTCAAGTCTGGATATTTGATATAAACTGTTAATCAAACATATCAATTATAGGCCAAATGATAGGTGACTGATGTTGATGAGTACATACTCGGTCAGCTACAAGGAATTGAAAAGGGAGATTGATTATGAATACAGTGGTCTTGAGTGCTGTTAGAGGTATGAGGGCGGTTATCACTTCCCGGTTGCCCACACCGTGGAAGGGTTCTTCTGGAGGTACCTGAAAAGGAAATTGGATTAGAGGTGGTCTTAGTGACCTGAGAGCGTGACTGCAGTGCCCAAGGGACAACTACTTGAGGTCGGTCACACACGACCTTTTTATGAGTAATTTTTGTATTAGCTCCGTTCGTGTTGAGACCTTACCGCCGGAGACGGATATCCATGGGATAAGGCGAGGTGTGTATTTTTAGGGTCGACCTTTTCTGAACCCACCCCTCCTTATGGAAACGCAGCATCGCTGTCATGCTGGTTGTCTGAAGGAAACACCTTACTGCTGTCACACCTCTGTACAGTCAGAAGTACTTCGCCTTCGGACCTTGGGTTTGCTGCTTTTAGTCTTACCACTCTTCAACCGACCTGTCTGACATGGTAGCACCTTGAGGAACGGTTGTTCCAGCCAGTATAGCTCGGTTGCTTCATCACGATAGGCAAGCCCGACCACCACGTCAAGGTAGCAACAACGGTCGGGATGAGTGCATACTAGTGACTGACTGAATGACTATTCGACAGATACATAGATATGCTATTCCTTGAAATTGAGCATAATCATTTAAGGGATATACATCTATAATATGAATTTGTGAACAGTTGACCAGTTTTCCACATTTTTTAACTGATTGTTTAACCAAAGTATATCCATGAAATAAAACTTTTAAAACAAATGGTCTTCACGAACCTTTTGTACTGACACGACATGGTTTTGATAAACACTTTGTTCTAAACTGAAAAATTATTTATTACTGACAATAACAATCACGTCAAGCAAAACTCAACTGCATTGAGTTGATATATACGGAGAGATAATATTTTCCAAAAGAAACAGAGGGTAAGCTATGAAGGAACACTCGTGACAAAAAAACGTGAAACATCATAGTGAGCGGAAAAAAAACTAAACAACTGTTGAAATTACTACAACCTCCACAAAACTAATCAACATATGCTCACTAATGACTGGCTTCAAGAGGTATATCCTGGAGTTCTAGTGAGAAGCAGTGACCAGTGGAGTTTAACCGGGTCGTTTGTGAGTTAGTAACCCACTGATGACAATGGTGGACATGTCGCTCAATTTTACGGATTGGTTGAAGTTAGCCATTAACACTGTTGGATGCTGGCTCAGTGGTCTAGTAATTAACCGTTCGCGCGTGAGACTGATAGGTCCTGGGTTCGTGGTGTCGTGGATGCGCACTGCTGAAGAGTCCCATAATAGGACGAAAAGACCGTCCAGTGCTTCCAGATTTTTTATGGTTGTCTAGCTTCAATTGACTCATGATCTCAACTGTTGAAATTACTACAATCGCCACAAAACCCCTTCTGATACAAAACAATAAAAACCATGAATACACTAGTAACAATTACCAATTAATTGTTGTAAAACACAATAACAAAATGATACATACCCGTAAAAAAAGAAGAAAGAGAACACGCTACAAACAAGAACACATACCACCAGTAAAAATCACACACAAACAATAATGTACAAACCTTTGTATAGGAAGTGTAAATTTATGTTAACTGTAAAACAATGAAAATATATCAGAGATATAATGAAAAGAAACAAATCATTATTCAATCATTTAAATTGTAGGGACAAAGAGAACAAGAGAGCAGTAAATCACAATCATAATGATAAAATTAATATAAAACTAATGAGTTTTGAATAAAAATTGAAGTTCAAAATGGGTTATGCCGATTGACAGGAGAGGGAGAGACGGTATAGAATACAGTCAAATTTGAATTTATTTAACTGTTACAGAGTGATTATTTAATCTTCTATTTGCCTGAAAAGAGTTAGATATGTAGTATAATGATAAAATGTTCAATAGTAAGCTGAGACAATTGTATATAACTCTTTGGTTTGAATTAAATGATGGATATGAATGTTAAAATGAATTTGTTAATGAATGAAGTGAAATATGCAAATAAATTAGTGGTGATATAATAGAAAGAAATACAAAGTGATTTTAATGCTAATTTTCATTAATCTATTGCAAAATTATATCATCTATGCTGTAGGCGAGTTGATCATCGATAAGTTAAACAACGAACATACTGCTAAGCAGTCGGTTAAGTTTTACTTCATGATTATGAGATGCAGCCCCCAAATGCCCTGGTATGGCCGAGAGTGGGGAGAGTCCGTTCTCCCACTCGAAATGCTCTCACATGGCCACGAGTATATAGCCTCTGCAAGGGAAGTCCTACTCACTGCCTTCTCGACAAAGGGGTGTTGTTTACGAAATTGATAGGACGAAAAGCGAATGTCCGGAGTTTTAACCGGTTTCCAAACCAATGGTGCACATGGGTTCCAGTATCCTGAAAGAACAAATGGCATGTGAATCAATCGTTGGTCACCGGCTACCATGGGACTGAATCTCCTTACGATGCTCCACTGCCTTGTGGATCAGACCTTCAGGTCAAAGGCTCCGAGTGTGGCCCCCTAAGAAAACTACCTGCTTCGGTTTGGGCACCTAGGCAGTATCACAACCCTCACACATATCGAATGAGATTTGTGTGGTGCATATGTATTTGGTGCCTCCTTGTACCAATATCTATGTGTTAAAATAAATAAAAAAATCATTAGATGTGAGTCCTTTGGGGTAGATGAGATGAATAAGTTAAAAGTACAACACAGTGTGGTAACTTGGAATAATTTGGATCTATGCTAGGTTAAAGGTTGATTATTATTGACTGATACACAGATAATTCTCAAGTACAATATCAAGACCTTAGGTAGTTGAATCAATAGTACCAAATATTTAATAAAACGGTCAAATAAAACTTGTTTTCTTGTTCTCACAACATACTACTGTAATAGGACCGGTGAACAAGATTTTACTAACACTAGACTGGATGGTCGATCGGTACACTATAAACAAACTGGACCATGTTATACTAGATACAAGATCCACGACCGAAAATGGTGAACTAGAATATAGCCTTGTTATAACTTGTGACCTTTGTGCCCTGTTAATATATCACGCGATATGATCATAAATTAAAGTCACCGACTTATTCATCACACCAATGATGCATAAACCAATACGAGAAGCATCGTCTAACCCAGCCACCGATTCACTCTAAAATGTAAATGTCCACATCCATTCATATTGAATCATATAAATCAAACATACAAGCAACATCAGACCATATCACACCATAAAATAGAAAATAACAGTTGTGCCAAGATCAGGACAAAAAAAGTGGATGTGATTGTGAGAAACTGCGACTAATAAGACTAGACATTATGTAACATAACTAGAAGCAGCCAATCTTCAATGAGTCCAGAGTAGAAATCAGTGATGGAAAGGAGATCATATATTAAATAGATAATGTCTATCAGTTCACATTTCATGGCTAACCATATGTTACTTTAACTACCACACATCAATATTTTAAACCACGATTATGATAAATATAAACACGGAAAAATGATGGGGTAGTTGACTTTGCGACGCAACATGTCCCAGTGACGTAGTTTATGCCACCAAATCCTTAGTATAACGGAGGGTGAGGCACGTCCACTATACCAGGACTACAGAACTATTTGACTAGAATTAGACATTCTTATTTTAAGCCTCAATGAAAAAAATCAGCTACAAGTAGAGTAGTGTAGTGAACATACCATAAAATAAATGTGTAAGCAATAAGTAGATGGTTTTCATAGAATAAACAAAAGGAATTAACTTTATTGTGGAGTAGAGACTGAAGACACTATAGCAGTTCCTTTACGGATTTCACCATGTTGTTAAAAGCAAGCAATCAATATACCGAAATAGCCACACATAGTGTCTTTAATTATTAGTAAAAAATGAATGATGGTTACCGTAATGAATTATTGGGAAGAAATGAAAATTCAAAATCACAAAATAACTAATAAGTGATTTTTCTAGAGGATCCAATATGAACCTTTACCAAGTATAGACTCATTTACTCGGTCTTCCGATATTTTTATGAAAGTTGATAATAATGTAGTGAACGAAAACTACCTATATCTGTCAACATAAATAGTATACACAAAAATACTACTCAACTGCTTGAACAAAACTTAGTAAATTAAGGTTCGAATCTGAGATTCTACACATCATATTTCTTAGTATTTCGTGTATCAGTCAACAATTTATACCACTAAAGTAGATGTTTGAGATATCTAATCGAAGAAAATCACTCCTTGTTAATTTCTATGATAAAACCGATCAACCAAGAGGTTAATATAATTAATTTAGTATCAGAAAAGGCTTTGTGGATATTATAGTAATTTTAATAGTTGAGATTATGAGTCAATTGGAAGTAAACTATCATGGAAAACCTGGAAGCACTGGACGACCATTTCGTCCTGTTGTGGGACTCCTCAGCAGTGTTTCCATATATATATGTAATGATTACATAATGTTACAACTGACTAATAGTGAATAGTATATATTCTGATATAATCCTCAACAGAATCCAAAAAGAACATCATACAATGTTTAACAGACAAATTTACTAGGCGCATGGATTGAAGCTTGAAACTCTATGCACTAAAATCGATTGATTAACTTCATCATTACATTTATTTAGAGTAGAATAAACAAACCATATCCAATTTGGATAGAATAATACATACTATAAAGCAAGCCCTCATTTGGAATTCTCAAGGCCAAAGGAGAAGAGGAAGACCAAAGAACACAATACACCGAGAAATCGAGACAGACGTGCGAAAAATGAACAACAATTAGATAGAACTAGAAAAGAAGGTCCAGGACAGAGTGGGTTGAAGAATGCTGCTCGGCGGCCTACACTCCATTGGGTGTAACAGGCGTAAGTAAGTAAAAGTACTACATATTATAACCATTGAATGATACATATCAATCTTAAGCCTTAATAGATCTAAAACTGAATACGATGACCAAGTGATGCATATTAAGATGTCTAAGATATTAAAATCATAAATCAAAGTAACATGCATAATGGATAAATAAGAAATGATTGAATGTAATGAATCATATTACTTTTAATGATAATGATGATGGAAAGAAAATAAGATGGCAACCAGAGTGTTTACTCTCCCCGCCCCCCGAAAAAGCTTTATTCAATTATAGAAAGTGATGATTCTCTTGTTGTTGCTGTTGTTATTGATATCACACAATAGAATGATGTAATAGGAGAATATAATCTCATTAATTATTACTTACTTAATTTGCATATCGAATTAAACAAACGGATGAAGGAAATATTGGACTATAAATAATATGTATATCATTTATAGTATAATAGAATAAAAGATAAGGTATATATAATTGAAATATTATGAAATGAAAGTGAATATGATATAGTAATGGTATAGATAAATGTACACTAATCATTCAATTACATGTATACCTTACTCTTAGGATAAGTGAGAAATTAATATGCCCGGAAGTTTTATTGTAATTATGTTCTAACAATGTCACAATGTGAAATATGTAGATATTCACAGTAGAAAAAGCTATCTCTTAAAAAAGCAGTTACTAAGAGTAGGAGTTTCCGGTATGTTATTTATTTGAACACATAAATATTGGTACAAATGGGCACCGAATATATATGCGCCACACAAGTTACTTGAATTGTGTGTAGGCTGTGATACTGCTCGGTCGCCAAACTGGAGCAGGTGGTTTTCTTAGCGGGTCACATTCGGAGCCTTCAACGTAAAGATTTAATCCATAAGGCAGTGGAGCAACGTCAGGAGATGCAGTACCATAGCAGCCACTGACCAACGGCTAAATCATACACCATTTGTTCCATCAGGATCATGGAGACTAATGTGCAACGGTGGTTTGGAATCATTGTTTTCCAACTCCCCTAGGTGGACTCTCCGTGTCCACCAACCCGGTTAAAGCACCGAACATTAGCTTTTAGTCGTCTCAATTTCGTAAACCAAACCCCTGCAGCGAGAACGCAATAAGCACTTCGTTTTATGAATTAGTTGTACTAACGATGTCAAAGTTAAAATATACTCGATATTTTTTTGATATGACATGCAGTATTAGACTGCCCCTATATGTCGAGAGTTGAGTGTTATATCCGAGTGAAGATTAAATTACGGGTAACTTCCGAGGACTATTAATGGACTAATATTTTATAAATATATTCTTATTGTATAACTATTTAATAATTACATTATCGGTATTTATATTCCTCTTATTATAAGCTTTATTTTGACCTATAATTTATTATTGTACGATTTACGGTTCTTAAGCTATGTTCATTTTATTGACCACTGCCTCCCACACTCACAGCCACATTTGGCCAAATATTGTACAAATGTTATTTTCTATTTTATGGTACGTTGTGGTCTGTCTGGTTGATATATAAACCGAGTATGTCTGAAATAAACGATTCGATCCGATTCATATTGCAGAAGTTGGTATTGTGTTCTGGGCTCAAGCGGACGGGTTAGGCAGACATAGGACCAATAAGGACGCTAGGCTGCTCATACCGGTCGAACGTCATTAGTCTGGCATAGTGCTAAGATTTGTATAAGTCGAACTTTGATTGGTGGATAAATCACGTGATAAAAGCCGGACATAAAATCATAACAGGGAGAGTCAGCTCTCCCTCTCGAAATGTTCTCATATGGCCACATGCATACAACTATTGCCAGTGCCTTCTCGCGGCATTCCTGTTGTTTACGAAACTGAGAGGATGGCGCTTTAACCGGGTTCGTAGACACGGAGAGGCTAGCTGGAGGAGTTGGAAAACCCTCATTCCAAACAATTGGTGCACATGGATTCCATGATCCTGATGGAACAAATGGAGTATGAACTAATCATTGGTGATCGGTTTCCATAAGACTGCATCTCCTGACGTTGTCCTACTGCCTTCTGGATCAGACCTTTAGATAGAAAGCTCAGGGTGTGGCCCCCTAATGTTTATGTGTTTAAATAAATAAATAATATTAGACTGATTGGTGTATGAAATCAGAATTTATGTTGTATCGAAATTACTTATGCCGAACAGTGGAGGTGTGATAACCTTATAATTAGCTAGGATCAATAGTCAGAGTCATCCTTATACGGTATAAGTAGAACCCCTGCCAATTTATCAAGAAACAACTGTTCCCAATCGCATTAACTGGTCGCAGTGTTATATGACGAATAGGTTGGGGTTAGAACTGTACCACTGAATTCTGCCCTGGAGGTGCTGATGACCAAGAGCTCGCCACAAATCCCGAAGGTCTTCAGTACGATCCCTTGAAGGGTTTTGTGCGCACAAACAAAACAAACGCTCAGTGCTCTGTGGTCTTCAACGGCACTTAAAAAGTCGCCAACTTGTGACGATTACTACCTACATATTAAAACAATCTTCAAAAAACCCTATAATATATATATATATATATTGGAAACTGAGATATCAATAGAAGAACAATTTACTTTGTTCCAGTATAACTCCCTTACTCTAAAATGGCTTAGGAGAATTCCGAATCGCAAACGATCAAGATATTCTTTTTGTACGAAACAGGATCTACATTTATATTATACAGACTAGACAAATAATTCGCAGCAATTCAACAATAATCTTCCATGCAATATAACAGAGGTCAAGTACTCCAGAAACACCTGATATTTCAAGAAGTTGAAATAGTCATCGAACAACTCTATTCATATAGTCACAGCTATGATCATAGAACACAACAAAATTAACCAAACAAAAAGGAAAGAGACTGAATAGATAACAATAGAGGTCACTAGGATATAAATTGAAAGAAAAGTTACTAGAGTACTTTTCACACATTCAAACAACTAGTCATCAAAAAAAGTATTAAAAAAGAACCCGGATAATTTAAAGACCATTCTAGTAGTAACAGAGAGCTGACATAGTGATTTATTTGGTGCTGACAATAATACAGTTCCAACAACAACAACAACAACAAAAAGTTATACGAATCATTTACTTACCGTTTACCATATACAAAATGCACAATAAGGAATGCTATACCAAGGCATATATGTATAGAACCAGTAATTAAACAAATAATTCCAAGTGTTGGATTTTTTCCACCTAACCAACTAGCATTGGCTAATATAAATGTTTTTCTACCACCAAATGAAGTAACTGGATAAACTGAAAATGAAAAAATAAAATAAAGTGAGGATATCAATGTGAATGACATTGTTAAGTAAGTAATCAAAGTGATAACACAAGCCAGTCAGTCAGTAACAACGTAGAACTTCGTACGTACGTACACCAGTTCGAGTTGCCACACCACATTAGCACAGAGATGCAGTTGTCGATTCAAATCCTGTAGTGGTAGAGGTAGCAAGAGTATAAGTAGCAATCGGAAAGATTAGAGTTTGGAGATGTTATTTAAAGAATATAATCCAGTGAAATAAATTTGGAAAGAGGAAAAAAGGGACATGAAGAATTCAGAAGATTAGAATTTGGGAGAACACAAAGAGTGGATGCACCTGCGCCATTGCAAACGATTTTGAGTCATGTCATTCAGGGTCTCTAACCATCGGTTGCTATAGTCTCGCGGTCCCCAACCAGGTAGTCTACACCTACCAACATGACTCAGTCCACTTGTCAGTGACTTCATGGACTTGTGCCATGTTTTGGTCTGGCCGCCCCTAGCTTTCTTCCAACTTACTCCTATACCACTGAACATCGCACATCGGGGCAGTCGGTCGTTGGGCATACGTAACACGTGTCCCAGCCATCTCAACTGATGAAGTTTCACTACTTCATCAATTGATTTGCCATCTTTATCTAGTACCCGTTTCCTAACAACTGTGTTACGTACTCAATGGTCCCAGGACTTTCTCAATTACTATCTCTCTGGACCGATGTTTAATTCATAACTAGTACGGAAAATAATACTTTGTTAAAATCAAAACAAAACCACCGAACAATTGTTATGATATAAATTGAAACTGCTCACTAAATCAAACTACATTTAAATTAATAATTGTTGTGTACTTATTACTTTGATCGTCTTAAAAGTAGAAGGCAAATGAGTTTTATTGATATCTGGAGAGTAGATGATATCTCCTACAAAAAAAGATGAAACCATTGTTAAACATCTAGTCTTTACCAGCTATAAACATGTCGATTCGTGAAGTGGACATAGAGAGTCCACTTAGGGGAGTTGAAAAACCCTCATTCCAAACCAATGGTGTACATGGGCTCCAGTATCCTGATGGAAGAAATGGCGTATGAACCAATCGTTGGTCACCGGCTACCATGTGACTGCATCTCCTTACGATGCTCCATTGCCTTGTGGATCAGACCTTCAGGTCAAAGGCTCCGGGTGTGGCTCCCTAAGAAAACCACCTGTTTCAGTTTGGGCACCCGGGCAGTATCACAGCCCTCACACATATCAAATGAGATTTGTGTGGCGGATATGTATTCGGTGCCCCTTTGTAACAATATCTATGTGTTAAAATAAATAAATAAATACAATTCGTGAAGTTCGTCTAAAGAGAATTAGATACAATGGAGAGCAAATTTCAGTAAACAAGATAACAAAATACTCACAGTAATTAATAACAATTTCATACGTTCCTGAGGGTAAACCATTTGAGAAATCATCTTTATGAACTACAAAAGCGCTTAATTTACGAAAGTTTGGCAAGGCAGCTATTCTCATCCATACTAATAGAGCTTCATCAGTCTTAAATGGACTTGAAGATCTCGCTTGAATTGGTTGAGGCCAATTAGGTGGCTTGACTGTATTATTGAGAGCTATAAATAATCAAAATTATTAAATATCAAATAGTTCAACAAAAGATCATCAAACTGATTAAGGTCATTCAACAATTCTCAATGTAAGAAAATAAATATCATAACATGGTCAATATGAGTGCGAGCCAATTTTTCATTTGAAAGTGACGAAGAATTCAATTCGATTTATGGAGAAAACTTAAACGAATGAATATTACTGAACCTGATCACTTTTAAGGGAACTATGGATCCCTGTTAATGTTGACTTTACTGGAAATTTCGCGGTATATATTTCCTCATGTGTCGTTGTTAATTCCAGATGACTGAAGAGAATGCATACGAACAGCATCGTCTCAAATGTTACACGACCTCATTATACATTAATATATACCTTTCTATTCTGGTTTTACAAACCATAAAACCCAGACTGAATCTCTTTTTATCCTTACTACTACATTATTATGATCTCGTGTGTTACTTTTATCCCGTCGTGATGATATAGTATGATAAATTGGGGAAACGCACATTTATGCCAGGCTCTAGGATGACGATGTCGGTCTGTCTATACCACTAATCTTTTCATTTAAACCTAACATCTTATCTGGGATATTATATCAAGGATATTCAAGTAAGTTGGCTTGAGAAGTATGATGATACAGGTTATATAAATTCTGGAAATTGTTTATTAGTAGACTTATTTCAAAGCTGTTTTATGAGTTGTTTGATGCCTAAAGCACAAGGATTCAAGGGAGGATAGGACGTATGGTATTACAAGTATCCTGGTAGTCGATATATTTTATTTAATTATGTGACGATGACTATCTACTTACGGAACCCTAACCGAATCCCGTGACGTAATTATAGTAATGCAGCAGAAGTTTGATTTGATTTGTCTTTTACGTAAATTTTTTACATAGTACCATTAAATTTTAAAAAGAGGTTGTTAAATTAGGTTACTGCTTATTTCAGTGAAGTGATGTTTTGATAGTAAACTTTGCACAAACTGATCATCATATAACGGAAAACTAATATCAGTAGATGGATAGATGTGAAAAAAATTCATCCACAACTAACTTCCACCCTCCATATTTTATCTAAGCTCCATTTATGTGAGTTCATACAGAGGTAGTTTGGAACTAGCTGGCCTAAATCTGAAAAGCTACATAAGTTTACCGACCATATCAGTGTAATAAGTTACGGTTTAGAAATGTAGACTAATTCAAGATCATGAATATGAAAAAAATAGATATTTTTTAACTAACCGTTTGCATTCAAGGTCCCGAATTTGCGATTGACATCGGAAGGCCATGCTATACCGTTTGATGTGGTTGTGACAGTAACTTTGGTATTATCATTCCGTATATATGTCAGAATAAATGTGTCATTAAATATACTGTTTGCGATTGCACCACATGGAAGTATTGGTTTACCCTCAATTGATACATATGGGTTACACGAAGATAATGAACTTGGGTCTTGATAAATACCAAGCAACTGTTCATCATTTTTAGATCGTGCATATCGCCGATGATTTTGATAAAAGTTGTTTAAACCATAATATAAATAAACAGGTCCAGGAATAGACGATTCAACAGAAATATGTTTAACACAAACACACGGTTTCCCCAAGGCAATTACTTGAGAGCATAACTCTTCAGTACCATTCTGAGTACAATCTGTATAGTCCACAAGATATTCTACAACATTATTTGATGCCGTTAGTAATATAATACCAATAGGTATCAGCACAATTCCAAAAACTGTGAAAGCTATTCCAGATTTTTTAGCAGTAAACATTGGTTGCCATGCCGGGAGTTTTTGTTGAAAAAAAGCAGAATTTCTAGGTTTTCGTGATTTTGAAGAAGTTTCTAATAGTTGTGCACTCATAGTTCAAAGGTATCTACAATAATAAGAGTTGATTTGGTAATGAATACTTAAAATCGACTTCTGAATAAATGCAAGCTAATGTTATTCATAAAACTGTTTAAAAAGTCATCTAAAATATCCATTAATTGTGAATTAGGGCTAACACACCAACAATAGGAAGAATAATGCCCTGATATGGCCGAGAGTGGGGTGGGTCCGCCCGCCCTCTCGAAATGCTTTCACATGGCCACGCGTATACATCCTCTGCTAGGGAAGTCCTACTCACTGCCTTCTCGTGATGAGGGTGTTGTTCACGAAATTGAGAGGACGAAAAGCGAATGTCCGGCGCTTTAACCGGATCCCAAATCAATGGTGCACATGGGTTCCAGTATCCTGAAGGAACAAATGGCGTATGAACCAAATTTAGGCTACCATGGGACTGCATCTCCTCACGATGCTCCACCGCCTTGTGGGTTAGACCTTTAGGTCAGAAGCATGGGGTGTGGCCCCCCAAGAAAACTACCTGCTTCGGTTCGGGCACCCAGGAAGCATCACAACCCACACACACACAAATATAGTGTGGCGCACATATATCTGGTGCCCCCATGTACCAATATTTATGTGTTGATGAACTGACGGATATCAGTCTTGTACAGGTTTCTTTTGGACCCCGGTACCATGTCTTAAACTGACCACCTCTTACTACAAGCCCCAGCCTAGGGAAATAAGGCACGATGTGGAAGTCACTGGATTCCGCGTTCCAAAAAAGTGACGTCAACCGTATTATAACCATTGTTCCGAAAAAAACATTGCCGAATTTCCGCACTAATAATATGGCGTAGTCACTGAATTTTAACGATCCTTTAGAGACAATGATGACTTAACACACCTAATATCGTAAACTCGGAGGGGACATGATTTACCAACATACAGCATGGCTGCTTTCACCCTACCTTTTACAGTCAGACAAGTATTACGACAGCACCATAGAAGGCGCAGATTGGCACATAGCACTTTGGTTTTCACTAAACGCAAATTGATAACCAGTTCAGGATTCAATATACCCACAAATGAATTTTATAAGTTCCTATACCGTCGCGCACAGCCCCAGCAAGGTGAATGTTAAATACAAGTAACTATTTATAAACAACAATTATAAGCTGTTTCTAAAACGTAAATTATTACAATTAGTGCAAAAACAGAATAGTACGGTCAATTACAAAATGGACAATAAACACACACCGAATAGTAGCAGAAGCATAATAAAGTGAATCAAAACGAGGGCTAATCAAGTTTATGTAAAGAGTTGATGTAATTTCGTGACTGGTAGTTAAATAAACATAACCAGTCGAAGATTGAGTCTAAGAAGGTGAATGTTTAACATAAATATTACTGGTTGGTTCGCACTCATTGGTCGACATTAACAACCAACACATGCACGATTAACTAGATGCAGGGACAGATGCCTGTTGGTCCGCATTTAAGTACAGTGTTATCGCTAAAAGCATATTTATGACAGTTAAATACAAATGTGAAAGCGAACAACCCTGAAGAAACCACTTGAATTACCCTATTCCGGCGACAGTTCGCTATAAGCTCTGACTCGATCAGTCGTATTCGAGTGGGGAGCCTGTACAACATTCACGTACTTCTTTGATACGCCTTTCAATCACAGATACTGCAACAGAACTTCACAATTAACGAGGTCGAACGCCGCCGATAACTGTGTTTGGTTCCCAGGTCAAACATTTTTTAAATCTTAAAACTTGCTTGAGTTGGTGTTTTAGAACCAAGATTTGTCAATCCCACTTTACATTAAGAAACCAAGTTCAAGGGGCAGGCAGCTATGTCCATCTCAATTTTGTATACACTTTCACACCAGGTGATCGTAGAGTAGAGCTTTTTTGGAGAGCAGTTATAAACGCACAGCTATACGAAAGTATTTTAAGAGGAAAAAGGACCCTGTCTGGTACCGATCATGCTAGGGTGATTAAGGGAAAGATAGTCACATTAATACTTTGCCCCTTAAGTTTTACGCTAGTTCGGCAAAATTAACTGAATTCCTCATATCAAAACTGTTTTGCTTTGAGCTAACTCAACACTGAACACTAGCGGCGCTTTCTCGTTTAATATTTACTTATATTTAAATAAGCCATCTGTAAGCTTTCAAAAAATCCGTCATGAACCTAAGAAATAAACTGAGTTAATGTTACTAATCCTATCCATATACGAGTGTAAGAACAATTTCAAGAGGAAGGGGTGGACTACGAGAAATTCGCTTTGGTTTTTGGTGTTAGGGTATACATGGTTTGAAACTGCAACGCAGTAAAATAGAAATTGCCCAGACGAAACTAGCATTTGAAGGTCAACATCCTCATACCTCTTAAGAGATACTAAAGAGAAGTCGGCTTTTTGTAGCTGGAAAAAAAACTGTGGGAAGACTAAGCACAAAATAGCTTTTTATATAGTAGATGAAGCATTATCTATAATGTTTCGTAAGCGTGTATATATTTGTTTACACTATGTATCAAGAGTGAAATTACCTATTCGATGTAATTTTTACTCATTTGCAAAATGATCACTTTATAGAGAGGTTGAAGTCTTTTAGATTGTACTGAAAACATCATAATATAAAATCTTTGACAAGTATTGCATTGAAACTTTATGATTAAGGGCAATTTACGATGTAGCAGTATGTTTGTAAGAGCATATTGCTTCCAACAGTTGAAATTTTCTTAGATTAAAATGAAGTGACCGGACTCAACCATAAAAAGTCGACAAAAATATTTTAGGAACGAATAATTCAAAATAGAGGAAGCGAGTTTTAAGTCTCCAAGTGAAATTTAAATATCTACTTAGCAACAAATAGCTTTTCGCCACCATAGGGTAAAAACGATGGTCCTAAACACATGAAATCCTTGGCGAGACGATAATTTGTGGATAAAATGTCTCGGATTTTGGCGCGAAATACACTCATCCGCTTCACAAGATAGAGTTTTGGTATTATAGCTGATGTTAGTTTGTGGTGAAAACCCTAGATCTAATTACTAACATCACACTGGTTTATAACCCTCATTTGGTCCTAGTTATTAAATGGACACTCTCAAGGTCGATTCGGCGTCGCTTAAAAGTCGGTCGTAAATGATAGTCTCACCTAAAACCCCTAAACATGAGCACCTAATCGTGGAAATAGCTAAGGATATTGTGGGGACTTCATCTGGGCTGTTTAAATGATATAGGCAATCTAGATTTATCACGAGTTTGTATCTAATCGTCTTCTCGGTTGGCGAGGAGTCATCCGTTACTAGACCAAGTATTATGTAAAATCTGACATTCTGGGATGACTCTTTTGCATAAACTATCTAATCATAAAAGCCGTTTCCTGTATAGCTAAAAAATAGCCAAAAAGTAGCCAGTTGTTTAAGGCTTGTCTCTCTACGATGTCTTGGTCGAAAGCGTCTTTGATATGAACGTTTTTATAACGGACATTTATGGTTAGTGCATCGATATCAGTGAACAAAACCATGCATTTTCGTGTATATTTACAGACGTTGAGTGATTGGAGCGTTGGCCAATGAATCCTCGACGAAACTGAAGTGCTTTGTAGAAATCTGATGATCAAATATAAGCCTATTACAGAAATATATCAGGAAACCCATAAGGTTTGTATGTTATACTTTCATTGTGGTCAGCCTAGAAAGGACTGCTGACAGAACAGCAACTGCCTGTCGCTTAAGTTTTGATTTTATGTGAGGCGAGATATAAACTAATCCGAAACCAACTCACTTGAACGTCTAGAGTCTGGCAATTTTATGTGTAGCCGAAAGGAACCTTGTAAGCTGAGTCTGGAAGAGAAAAGAACATAGGGAAAGTAAACCAAAGACTCGGAAACCACAGAGAGTGCACAAAACCTTAATAAAAAGATCAAATGATGAAAACCAGAAATAGCATAAAGGTGATATTAAAAAAAACACCTGACACTCCATACCAGAAGTCAAAACTGACACGAGTCAACTAAGAATGAAACCAACCGCTATTTCGTTTCAGCAACCTTGAGTGACCTCAGTTTTCAGTAATAAGGTTAAGAGGTCTATAGCCATTATTAATCCTTTCAGTTTGCAACACTGTGGAGGTCCAATCTCGTTTTTAATATATCAACGGAAGTTGCTGATATTACATGTTCTAGCATAGAATTCCAGTAATTCGCTACTCGTTGCTAGAAACGAAACTCCAGACGTAGACGATTTGATCCAGGCTTTTGAACTTTCTACGAATGTTTTCTCAAATGATCAGTTTCAGACGGAAGGAAAACTAGGACATATTAATAGTATTGTCATCGTTCAGTATGCGATAAGCCAATATTAGGCCAACCCGTATTCTACGGTACGATAACAGAAATAAGCTATGGTGTCTCAGTCTGTCTTCATAAGATAGGCCAGATAGACGTTTTCCCATTTTAATCCATCGTCAATGGACTCATTCCAACACATCTGCCTCGTACTTAAAATATTTCGATCTTCTGCTGCAGCCCAATCTTCTCTTGCAATGAGAAGATTTGCCAAACATGTGAAGTGGAGCAATATTACATGTACCCGTATTTCATGATCCCAGTAGGTCGTCCAGTTTTCCCATGCTATGAGTAAGCTGCATGCCATGATTTCGTCATATCCTTCCCCAACACTTACTGCTCCTTGTTAGGTTATAAACAATAGTCGGTAATTTCATCAGCATATCAGTTCAGGTTGTGGCTGTCATTATCGTGAGTTCGGTTGGGCCTGTGTTTGACGACTCTAATATTCTGTTGGGGATTGATATAGTTACCGCTGTTGTTATTTCTGATGAGGCCTTGTGATTCTCTTTCATTGGTGCCACAGGTGTATCTTTATTCACAGCAAGCAAACGTACCAGAACTAAGTACAAGGGTGACTCGGTGTTAGGAACGAGCTTATGTAAGTATGTAAGGAGGCTGTCACGAATGTCTAGAATTTCACAGGTTATTAGGAGGTCACCATTGAGACGCCTATG